GCTCTGTATCATGTGGGGAAAAAACAGTTTATAGAAAAGATAAGTTGAACTGTAAACATTGCATCCTGATAAGTTTTCTACATAGTCATATAGTTATGATTTCTTTTACTTTCTTCAGATTTTCCTTGAAGTCCAGCTAAGAACACAACCAACAATAAAGTGAAAAAGCTGTGCAGCTGAAGAAGCATCCTTCTACTTGGTGAAAATGTCTCTCTTTTTTTGACAACAATTAGAGGACAATGGGGTCAAACACACTTGGGAAGGCTGCAACATTAGATGAGCTTTTGAACGCTTGTATTGAAATGTTTGGTACGCTTTTTCAATATTTGACTTTGCTGTTCTTGAAATTAATTTTATAATATAACCCCTGCTGTTCTCTGATTTAGCCAGTCTTTTCCTTGGCAAACAACATTTCTGTTCTGTAAAATTTTCCATGTTTCATTTTGGCCCAGAATCACACGAGCCAGAATTTTAATCACATGCATACTGTATTAAATTTTCTTAATACAGATAATGCACAATGGTGGGTATAGTGGTTTTTAAAACACTGGCCTTCACCAGGACAAGCGTTTAGTTGAATTATTCAAGGAGTTATTTCTGGCATTGATCTTTGTCTTGAGTGGTTACACAGCTGCATTTCTGACCAGTCATTTTTTTGAAAGGTTTTCCGAATCATCATGCAATAATTGGCAAAAATATGACTTAAGGCTCCTGTAATCTTTTTACTCTTATTAAAATGTAATGTACCAGGTTTGAGGGAAAGAAGTGATGAAATAGACCTTGATCCATAACACCATTAATCATGACATATGTCACATTGCAGTCAGATGAGTTCATGGATGGGCTTAAATGCTTTGAAATGGGGCCTTAATTTACAAAGCTACGTTCAGATTCTCTTGAAATGCAGGAGAGCTTTTGATTGGAATGAGGTATTGATTTTTTTTTTGCCCTTGTGGAGAGAAAGAAGTATCTAAAGGTGAGAGACATGAAATAATTAAGGGGCAGATCTTGCTACTGAGTGTAGTGCATCCCCATATATCCATGTTTGTAGACGACTATCATCAAACCTGTTGTTCTAAATACCTAATGGGAGGTAGCAGAGCCCATATACTTGTTGTCTGTTAGAAATCATGCCTCTCTTCCTTGTATACACACTCTCTTGACAAGTGTAGTCCATGTGTTGTTCCTGCATATCGACTACTGACTTTTAAAAGAGTGACAGACAGAAAATAATCTAAGGTTGCAGATGTTGAGGAACATTGATGGTCAGCCAGGGTGCTAGGGAGTAACTCTTTCTGTAGTTTCAGTGGCTATGTTGCAAAGACGCAAGGATCTGTACAGCAGCTGGAGATGGGACCCTGGGCACAGATGTGAGGTGTTGCTTTGAAATTTAATTCCTTGAGGCAGATCCCTTTTCTAACAATGTAATTGTTGGCATAAAGCTATAAAGCTGCGCTAAAAGAAATATTGTAAGTAGTTGTACATAAATCATCTCCCTGCTCTTTTGGTGGAATAGTTTTGGGTTTGTTCTTTGGATTATTGGCAGTCTCTTTGTAGAACGTTTAGCATAGTGCTGTCCATACCCCGTTTTTCTAGCTGTGGCCTGTTATCTACACTGATTATTTTTTTACCTACCACTACAATCTCGCAGTAGTTATCACTAAAGTAGCATTTGTGTTCTTTGGTTTTGTTTCCTACCTATTTGGTAGATATGCTCCAACATTTCTACTTTCAATCTTTTTTCTCTGACTCCACTTGAAGAACAAAAGCTTGTCTCTTGTCCATGAATAATGTGGTTAACTCACTTGTTTCTCTTTTGCAGATGACAAAGGAAATCGGTGCTCCAGCCATTTGCCAAGAACCTTTCTTTTAATGCACCGGTGGTATCTGCCTTCCACAGAGCTGGCTGGCAAGCTTCTGTCCACATATCCTTTCAGGAAGACTTGCAAATTGACATTACTATGTCAAAAGCAGATTGTTTCTGTGACTGCATGTAAAAATGTGTCAATTAATTAGTGACAAACAAGGTTTAGGGGTGAGATTTTTTCAGCCTAAAAGGTGGAAGTCTGTAAGCTTTGTTCTGCTATTGGTTGTGGGCTTTCTCCATCTGTACAAGTTTGCTGAGGCATACTTTGAATTAACTTTGAATAAGTGGAAATATATTGCCAAGGTAACATTTTAAACGTGTAATGGCTGGCTGGCCTTGGGCTAGTATGAACTTTCAGTGGTAGCTAAGCACCTATATGTCATTTATACCTCTTAAAGTCTTCAGTAATCAGAAGTATTATCGTATTTGGTTAATCAGAGCTGGCAAGAAACGGTTCAACAGAATATTCAGAATACTGTAATAGATGCATTTTTGCTAGGGCAAAAACCGAAGTGGCAGCCAGGAAATGGTCTGTGTCCCCTAAGATGCTGTGAAAGTGAATGAAATATCAGAGCATACCGTGGTTATGTCTAAAAGAAAAGTTTGATACTGTTTGTTATTCAGCTGGGCTAGTGTCAAAGTCTTCTGTAGATAAAAACAGCATTACTAAATCAAGGCACACAAAGCTTTCTTTAACTAGCCTACATATAGAGATGCCAATGGGGAGAACTGCAATGAATTCAGATTAAAAATCTGCTATTTCATGAGGTAAGCATGCTTCTGGTCCTCCAGCATTTTGTTTTTATGCTTCTGTGAGGAGTATCAATGTAATTTCTTTTTGCAAAGATTAAAACTAAACCATGGAAATATAAAGCTTTTCTTTTTTTTTTTTTTTAACTTGATCTCCAGTCCATAGTGAAGAGTGATTTCTGTGCTTTGAAAACAATTGTTTACGTTGAGCCATCCAGCCTTTAAGACACTTAACTGTATTGACCTAAAAAGCTGATTGAAAACTTGCGCTATGATTTACCTGGTGTTTGAGTGTGACATCTCTTAGGGGGAGACTAGTTCCGTGCCACACAGAGGAGAGACACATTTTGCTTCAAGATGTAATCTAGTATGGTAGAGGAAGAGTGTCTCTGGGCTGTCGGCTTCAGTTCACGCACAACAGGAGTGTGTTAGTGATGTCAAAGCTATTACAGGTCGAGTATGTTTTGATCCTTGCACCAACTGTCTCTGACCTTGTTTCTGTGGGAAAGCTTTCATGTGTTAGGCTGTGCTTGTGTAGGAACATCTCTCTGTGAAAGAGAAAGCATGAATTTTTAAGCTAACAGGATATAACCTGCTTCCCTCAAACTTTTTCTTTCTTCCTCTGGACTGAGTTATATCACTGTGAAGAAAGGGAGGGAGGTATTGAAAGCAGGACTGATAAAGCCTTTTCCATACCCCCTTAAATACCAGAGGAAACATTTCATTTACATGGTTATCATGGTAGAACTGCTACTCAAATAAGTCTCACTTAGACAAGGGATAAGTGCAAGTGTTATTTGGGTGTCCTGGAAGCGTGAGTCAGGACACATGTGTGTGTCTTTTGTGTGTGACACCTGAGGCATCACTTAAATTTCGTATTTCGGTAGAATGCTGCTGTGCTGCTGTGGTGAGTTAACCAAAAGAAATTATATGATAAAGTGGCTTTTGCCACTTCAGTGTCACAGATAATCACAGCAGCAACAAGTTGGGGTAGTCCACCCTCTCTGCCCAAAAGCCATGGGGTCTGAAATATTTGTAAGTCCTATTGAATAAAGTGTGAGTATATATATGCAGCCACTGAACGTTACACCTGAATCCCTGGGCATCTCTGAACCAACTGGATTTTGGAATTTCCTGCGGAGTTTAACTTGGATCTTGGGCTGATTCGTTTAACTGAAGAGTTTCGAGAAGTAGCCAGCCAGCTCGGATATGAGGATCACATCCATCTCATCGATATCTCCAGCATGTAAGGATGTTATGAGCTTCAACATCTTTCCCTCTGTCTCTGTAAGAGCAGAATTCTAGTTCTGTGCAAAATATAAAAATATTAAGGGCCATCTTGATGTCGAGAGAGGAAAAACGCAGTTACAAAAAGATTATATTGTCTTCTAAATTTGAAGTTACTAAAAATTTGAAATTCTAGTTGTAGTGTCACAGTAACAAGAAGATTCCTATGTGTATAAGTTTTTAATATAAACGGGAAAGAAATAATTTTCCTGACAAGGCTAGTGCCAATTGAGTGATTAATATTACTTTTTTCGTATAATTTTTCATACAGAATGACAAGCAATGCAGTGACTGGCATGTTGTGTGAATCTTGCATTTTCTCAGGGAAGCTTTTTTGTTCTCCCATCAGTAACCTGTTAATTTTTTCTAACGGCTTTCTGCGTACTACTTTTCTATGATTTAACTGGATAATCTTTAGCATTCACATTTGTAGTTTTATTGCATCAAAATGATTATGCTACTATTGCCTTGACACGCTGAAATGTAAGTTACCTTCTAAACCAGGCAGGCTCTTGTATCTCACCTGATATTGTAGATTTTCTTTTAAAATATGGCATATGCCTAGTGATTTTTCCTTATTTAAAAATGGCATAGTAACCTGGAAGGACAGCACTACTAATCTAAGGTTGCAAGACTTCCTGCAAGAACAGTACCAGTGAAATCACATGAATATTGCCTCTTAAATCTTCATTTTAAAATATCATTAGCAACCTCTTTATGCTCTCGGAAGTGCTTTTACTGTATATGGGTAGGAATTATTCCATTGCTTGCAAGAAAATTATTTGCCTTTTTGTCCACCCACTTCTTACTGTTTTGTTAGCTGTTTGACTTACTGTTTCTGTTGTTCTGTTATTTCATGGACCTGTGGTCTGACAGAATAAAAATTAATCCCTGACATTATTCAAGTCTTTTTTTATTCTGTATCAGAATTTGGTGTGACCTGTTCTTGTATTTCCAAAGCATTTTTTAATTAAGGCTTCCTGTATCATAGAGAAGAGTACATTGTCCTTTTGTTCTGAAACCTGCTATGATTTATCATTTGCAGTAGCGCCTCCGAAACTCTTATCTTCTGTTATGCATCTGAACGGGTCTTACTCTGAGTGTTTGTTATGTGCCGGATGTCACAGATCAGAAGGCTCATGGTCTGCCTCTTCGTAATTTCATACTATATGTGCAAACTGTGGGCTACACTCACATATACCCAAACAGAATTGAGAATTATACCTATTTTACTGTTGCAGTCCTTCCTATGACTGGATGAGAAGAGTTACACAGAGGAAGAGAATTTCCAAGAAAGGAAAAGCCTGCCTGCTGTTTGACCATCTGGAGCCCATTGAGCTAGCTGAACATCTCACTTTTCTGGAGCATAAATCTTTTAGGAGAATCTCTGTAAGAAGCTTACAGCTTTGTCACTTGCAATTAGGAGCCTGTCCTTAAAGAGTGTTCACACGGTTTAACATTTATGACTTTTTTCCCTCACATTTCAGTATAGTAAATCTTTATAATCCTTCATATGATGTCCATAGCCATGGCTGCACCAGCACTTCCTTGATCTTTTTCATGACTGATGCTTTTAGTGACAGAAGTTAATTTTGTGGAGAAATTCTGGGCAAAAATTACTGCTAAAAGCTACTGCAGCTATGTGTTGCAGCAATTGATTAAACTAATATTATTGTTCAAAATCTTCAGGTGTTTTTTTTTTTTTTCCCACTGAGGAAAATAGTTGATTACTTTTAAGGAAACATCAGAGTCTTTGCAATGAATAAATTCTGACGAGACTGAAATATATGTAGTCCTTCTGTAGTCTCCGTTCACTCCCAACCGCTTCTTCAGAAACTGTCCTTTCATTTGCCAACTTAGGATCAGAATATAATTCAGGTTGGAAGGGATCTCAGGAGGCCTCTAGGCCAACCCCCCGCCTAAAGCAGGGTCAGCTCTGAGATAGATAGTGTTCCTCAGGGGCTTAGCCAGTTGGGTCTTGAAAACCTGCAAGAACAGAGACTGCACAGCTTGTCTTTCCTCCTTCTCCCATATTGGCACTGAGGAAAATTCAGATACAGTTGCTTCTTTTCACGCAGGATTGTACATGAACAAGAGGCAAAAATGGATGAAAATTGAAGTAGAAGCTAAAGCAAAACAAATGAGTAACCCAAATGCCAAAAGAAATGCTGATTTCTGCTGGCAAATACCCATATGAAAAGGTCACATGATGACACTGTATCTGGTGGCAAATGGAAGCAGGAAGTTCTCAAGAAGACATGTTCTCTTCAGCCAAAAAACGAGACTTTTTAAAAAGTGTTTAGGAGCATGAAAGTCATCAAACTCCAAAAATAATAAAAATATGTGAGTTTTTTTGTTTATTTCAAGAGAGGAAGGAAAAAGAGATCAATGAGGAGCTGAGACCAGTCTAAATAGAATTGCTTTTGACGTCATTTAATAATGTTCAAAGGTTTATTACTCTAGACTTCAAATCAAACACCCTACTGTGATCTGTGCAATGCTGACCTCAAAGAAGGAGGAAGGGATAAGAAAAAAGACATGGATTTCTAACTAGACTTAAGATATATTTTAATTCCTTTAGGAATTCCAGAAAGAAAACTCAGACCTGCAATGAATTTTCTTTTTTCCTTATTGTTTCTAATTTGTCTGTTAATTCTTTGGGTTGAATTTTTCTATCATCTCGGATGTTTCTCTGCAACCAGTTAGAGTTAATTAATCTTGTACTACTTGTAATTGTACTTGTAATTGTAGAAGGTGATTAGTCTGATTCCTGTCTTTGGTTTTACCTATTTAAAAAAAATGTGGGGGAGAAGGAAGGGCAGTGTTAACTATAACAGAAAACATTTAAAAGTGTCTGAACACTGAAATACTGTTTATCTGCACCTCTGAGACGAGCATCTGCTGTGTAAGAGTACATACCAACGTATGGTCTTCTAGCAGGCAATTTTTGATCAGCTAAGACCAAGAAGCCCATGTGGGCTGGCATTGTAAGCAACTCCCCACACAAGCTAAAGTTATGTTACAAGCTTCTAAAAAATCTGTCTTTAAGGGACAGCTGAAAAATGTTTTCCAAACATTTAAGGAAATCTAATTCTTGGGAGCTGTAGCTCTCCCATGTAGAACCATGTCCAGGAACACACAGGGACTGAACAATAACATCACAAGGAGAAAGATTTATCAGAAGTAGCTCCTTGTGCAACAGAATTTTTTTTACATAGGAGGAAGAAAATGGGTGCATAGTTAGCTTCTTGGGATGCAGTTCAAGTCCTGTGAAGAGTGACAGAGCTCCTATTGATTTCAGTGGGGCCAAGATTTCCCTCTTTACATCAACAATGGAGTTGGTCAGGATATTGGAGTGGGATGAAAGCTATTATTTATATGCTTCTTGCTTGTAGCACTAGGCAATTCCTATAGAGTATCATGCCATGAGGATGTCAAGGACAACTACACAGAATAAAATGTTGTAAACGTTGAGTAAATTATGGGAAAGATAATTCCATGGCAGTAGTAATCATGCTTATCATGCAGGCTCCTGTATTACCTGACACACAAACACTAAAGTTTTAAGTTGACATTTAAGTAGAAAAAAACCAAAACCAACAACAAAAAAAAATTAAGAAAGAACTGATGTGCAGCAGTCTGCTAACCCTCAGTCTGGTCACTTTCTAACCAAGAGAAGCTTTAAAAAGAAAAAATGCTCAACGTTTCAATTTGGTTCTTAAGTTGTCCACCGTTTTACTGAAAATGCCTTTCCTCTGCTAGTTCACAGACTACCAAAGCTATGTGATCCATGGTTGCTTGGAGAACAATCCTACTCTGGAGAGATCTATTGCTTTATTTAATGGTATCTCCAAATGGGTCCAGCTCATGGTTCTCAGCAAACCAACACCCCAGCAAAGGGCAGAAGTAATCACAAAGTTTATCAATGTTGCACAGGTAGGTCTTGCATATGAGTCTTTTCCTTCCAGTATAAAGCAATAATATAAATAGAGATTGCAGTAAACAAATGAACGGGATACTCTTTGTCCGGTTTCCTCCGTGAATAGCCTCCACGTTGTTTGTTCTGGTGCGGTATGTCTGCATTTTTAACTAGCAGACATAACTATAAAATAATTTTTCTTTGTTGTATTCTAGTTGACAACTGTCACTATTGTGTGTTTCGTGAAATGCTGAACCTTTCTGTAACATCCCCTGGTTTAGCGATTTCTGCTTTAGCAGTGATAGGTTGTCTCCTTTAGCTTGTCGTCTGTGACACTGGGTAGCTGCTATATGTATTCCCTTGATTTTTAATTATGCATGATCAATTTCTCCTGCAGAAGCTCCTTCACCTCCAGAACTTCAACACACTGATGGCCGTTGTAGGAGGTCTAAGCCACAGCTCTATTTCTCGCCTGAAAGAAACTCATTCTCATCTGTCTTCAGAAGTCACAAAGGTATGGTGGACTTCAGAATATAGACATATTGAGCAGAACATCACCTCTTTGAGGTCTGATGGGTTCTGCAGTGCAGGTGTCTCACTAGCACAATACTTGGATCATGGCAGGGCATCCTAAAAGGCACTTTGGTTGCATTCCTCTCGGTGGAGAAGGATCAGACGGAGATCCTCTGCTTGATTGCCTGTGCCAGAGAGGAAATTAACACTGTCGACACCCTGACATGAGTTGTGCTCATTTAAAACGGGTTAAGGGAATGCTATGAATGCTTTCATAGAGACTTGCTTCTCTGGCTATTTGTAGGACTGGAACGAAATGACAGAGCTGGTCTCTTCCAATGGAAACTACTGCAACTACCGCAAGGCTTTTGCTGACTGTGTTGGCTTCAAAATTCCTATTTTAGGAGTTCATTTGAAAGACTTGATTGCTGTCCATGTCATTTTTCCTGACTGGACAGATGAGAACAAAGTTAACATAGTGAAAATGCAGCAGCTTTCCATCACCTTGAGTGAATTGGTTTCCCTGCAAACTGCCTCTCATCATTTAGAGCCTAATATGGATTTAATTAACCTGCTAACCGTAAGTATTGAGAATGTTTCAATTCACTTCTGTTATTCAGATGTTGAATGTCAGTAGGCATATTCATATCTATAGAGATAAGTGCACATTTTTATCCCAGTTTTGTAAAAGAAAAGGGAGAGAATACGAAACAGAAACAATGTTATTCACACATGAGGTGTGAATAAAGTCAAAGAGAGTTTCATTGTGGTAGTATGTGGTGGCTGGAGGCAGCAACAGGATTGTTATCAATTAATTATTTTAAGAATGACAGAAAGAGGGCTGTATTTGTGTTAGGAGAACTAAGTTCTCACTACTTTGAATTGAGGCCTATGTCTCCTGCGCAAAGATCTGGTGACGTGTTGATACAGACACTCAAGTGAAATTCCAGCTTGGGCATCACTCTGTTCTTGCTCCCCTGTGCTTTGTGTGAGACACAGTACTCTTCCTATTCAGTAAATAAAAATGCAGGGGTGTTAAACAGCTCCTGCAACCCCTGCTCTTTCCCCTCTCCTTCCCCCTTGGCAGTGGCTGCATTTGGGGGTGTTTGAAACTTACACACAAATTACAGATAAGGATTTGAATGTCCCATTTCAAACCAAAGTGAGATTTCAAAAAGACTGAATAGAACTTTTTTTTTTTAAAAAACTGCAACTGACAATGCTAAAAGGAGTTCTTTTTCAGTCCCCTTTTTGATACGTAGACAATAAATGTCGTTTTAATAAATACTACACTTTATTTCAAAACATACGGAAGTGTGAAGCCTGAACCATCAGGCCAAATCCTGTTTCCATTGAAATGTAGTCGTTTTAGCACTGATCTCAACTGCAGCAGTGTTTGACCCAGCACCACATTTTGTTCAGGTCATGGGCAAAACCCAGTATCTTGGAATTAAAGATAGAACCCGTGAAACTTGAAAAAAAGGCATGTTGTTTGTTATAAAACAGTTGATGTTGCAAGAAAATAAAAGTCACCTACTCACCTGAGAGTAGTCTGAAACATGTCATGTTAGGTAAAGGACTTTCTTAGTTTGTAATCATTTTATGCTGTTTCTGTTCTTGTTATTTAACTTTGTCTTTCAGATCTGAAAGAGAATATCCTTGCTCTCCTTCTATCAATAGAATTCTTTTAAAAATAAACTTAAAAGTAAACAAGGTCTGTGTGTAAATAGGACAAATTTGAGAATTTTTCCAGTGTTCATTTTGTTGGGTAGCATGAACTTCCTGAGACCATGTTTTCGTCCAAATTTCTTTTTTCTCTTTTAGATGACAGAAAAAAAAATAGATCAAAAGCCAGGGAAAGAATTTGACTATCTCTGAATAGCTGTGTCCAGAACAGGCAATGTCTCAGCATTGTCTCCCACTCCATGAGGAGGTGGAAACCAAATTCCAGTTTTTCCTCAGTCAGGTCACAAGACTTGAGGTGACGCTTATTCTAGGTAAATGCATTAACTGGAGGGCTATTGGTCAGGAGCCTTGCATTTTTTTCCTTTCATGCTTTACTTTAAAATGCTCAAAAATGTGCATATCTAGAAAGTAAGCAGAGATTGTAGTTTGTGATGGATTTGTGCTGGGACTGATCAGGTACGCTATGGAGGCTGACAAATACGAGCCTGAGCTTGGAGCTCTTTCCCAGAAAGTTCACAGTTTCTTACAAGCTTGGCTGTGAGTAGGGGGAAGTGGAACCTCAGGCTTTAGGGAACGGAGCAATAAGAAACTGAGCCCAAAAGGGCAGAAATCAGACAATGTGAAGTGAGAGATGGAAGCTGAACTGCTGCTGACATTTTCATTAGCTGTTCTTCTCTCTTTTGCGTGACAGCCTGCTTTCCAAAAGGAGCAGAAAGCTTCAGATTTTTCTAAGACCTTGCAGGTTCATATCCATCATTGTATCAACCTGAGTTTATATAGTGTAGCTGTTTTTCCTTTTTAAAAAAAAAAAATTCCTTTTGTTTGTTTGTTTTCAGCAAATTATAGGGATTTTATTTATATTTTCATATCTAATTCAGTATATTTCATTTACCAGGAGAAGTAATTGAGTACATGATGGGTACTTTTTCACTTATGATGCTCTGATGTATTCATTCCCAATATAACTCTGCTGACTTTGGTTACAGTTGAGCTAATCTGATTGTAAATAAATGAAGCTGCATGCTGCAGTGTTGATTCCAGACCTGATCATGAGTTAAAATTAACTTGTGCTGCTTTTTACCTGTTAGCATGATTCCACGGTGGTACCTTTTAGTAATGATGGAGACAGACATGGGTATCCTAGGTAGACAGCTGTAGGTAACCTAAAACCTTTCCAGGATAATTCTGTTTCATAGTAGTCACTGGAACTGTAGTTATGGGTCAAGTACGTTTGGTAGTGTGGGAATTTTAATTTAAGATGGTGACCCCTGGAAAGGAAAAAACCCAAATTTCTACAAAAAGTTCCTGGACCGGAATTTTGGTACATGTCATAATATGCATATTCTCATTTTTCTTCCAGTATGTAGGTTTTGTCCTCCTCTGTACGTATGAATACAATAATTTTTTTTACAGTGGTCTCTTAAACAGTCATAATGAACTTATATAGTAGATGAAATGTTTCTGTCAATCTTTTTGTTAATCAGAAAGTTTTAAATTATAGGCTGGGGTCAGAGAAAGAGAAGAAAAGCTAGGATTGCAGCCCAAAGCTGACAAGAACTGCTGACTAAAAATAGTTGACCTTGCTATGTGCAAATGGTCTTTTAGCAGATTTAGCCTCCCTTGCTGCCAAAATCATCATGTTTTCAGAGCCTGCAGAAATAACTATTCTGTTTATTGCTAGGTCTTCCCTCTCTAATGTAAACTGTAAAAATCTTTCTCATCTTTAACTTACTTAGAGAAACTCCCTTTCAAAACTAGTAAATGTGTATAGACGTGTAGAGTGCTTTTCATTTGCGTGTGAATCAGCTGACCCAACTATTTGTTCACTTCTGCTGTTTTCCCATTAAGCCGCTTCTACCCGGGCAAGCTTTTAGTAGGTGTCTTGTCCTGATAAGCAATGTGTGAATCTCTTGCCTGGCCTCCATCCCTTGCAGTGTTGCCTTTTACACCACACTTAGCAAGTGCTAACAGCCTGGCCTGTGCTTGCCTGACAAGTAAATCACTGGGTGCTGGTTTGCTAGTCCAACAACTTGCACAAAAAGATAAAATGGGTATTTCATGGACATGTGGGAATTTGCCCTGGTTTTTCTTTTCCTCGGTGGAGCCCCATCCGCTCTGGGGGAGCTGATACTTTTCAAGTGGCTTGGAAATGGTGACGTTTGGGGAGACTGTGTTAAGAGCTATGAAGTGAGAGCTTGGCTTAAAATCAGGGGCAAGGCCTTGGTAGTAAACTTCAGGCCACGTGGTCAAGGGTCTTACGGGCATTTTTCAGATGCTATTGTGCATATAGATCAAAAGGGCGAACAGGGAACAAGAGGACCCTCTGGCTTCAGTGGTAGCTGCTGAATGATCAGCATTCTGGAAAGTTGGTCTCTTTTTTGCCTTAAACGTTTGCACACAAACTTAGAAGTCTGCTTACCCTGCCCCATCTTATTGTCAGCATAAAAGCTTCTAGCTCACCAAATTTTAGCTTTAAACAAGAAGCCGAAAGAAGCCAATATTTTGCATGGAAGTTAACATGCCACAAATAAGGCAAAGGTTTGCTGTATGGAGGGCAGTGAGACAAATGCCAGGTTTACCTGCCTAGGAGACTTCAAAAGCTGAGAGGGAGCTCTAGTGGTGCAAGTGCTCCCTTGTCATGTGTAAATGAGTCCAAGTTATATGGGCAAGAGACATAAATGTGCCACGACCCAGCTGCTGGTGAGCCAGAGTGTGTTACACAAAGACAGACTCACTTCTTAGTGCATGCTTGCTCTTAGCCTGTGTGGTTCTTCCTCCTTTCCTGCCTTATTGGCCACACTCGGTCCATCTCCACTGACTCTATACCTGCTTCTGTACCAGTCCCTGGCATCCGAAACCTGGAGCTAAGTAGAAGTAGTAAAAGAGGACCTAAGCACAAGCTTGCAGTGCACCAGAGAGGAATAATAGCTCTAACGACACTTTCATCATTAGAAAACTTACATTTGGTAAGGATGCTTAAGGGATTTCCTTACCTGCTGTGCAGTATTTCCACATTGGTTTTATTTCACAATGTGAATAAAAGCCTGTGGGTAAATGTTTCATCACTTTCTGTGGATTGGAAGTGGATCTCAGTCTCTCGTCTACAGTGCATTTATACTAACTGCGTTAGAACTTATTTGGTGCCACCATTTTTCCCCCACTATTTTTAGGTCTCAACAGCTATTTGTCTAACCTGTTCTGAGACTGTATGCAAATAACTGGAAAGTCCCAGTCATTTGTACAGTCTAGTGAAGAGAATGAGAAATATCTAAACAATCAAATTGAAAGTCACCCTCCCTAACTTGTGTTCAGTAAGTTCCACTTACAAAAAAATAGTTGTGCCTTTCTGATCAGTCCCCCACCCTCCTCAATCCCCCCCCCAAATGCTTGGAAAAATAGGACAGCAATGAAAGTCAAATTAGAATGGAAACTGCCACCCGCTGTAAAGGTTGTCCTAGGAAAACTCTTATTACACTTTATCCATCAGAGCAAAACTATAAATAAAATATAAAATGAGAGCTTATATAACTGCATAGTCATCATGCTTGTAATTTTTTTGCTAGTATTTGAAACTTCTGTACTAGACAATACCTTGTCCACTTGTGCTTACACATTGTGCTTAATGAAGTTATAACTGCTGCTTATAAGGTCAGATAATTCAGGGAGGGGGAGATACAAACTTGCTCAGTAAATACTGATGCATTTCCATCCCCAAATCCACACCCTGCTCATCTGGCCTGCTGAGAAAAGTGTGCTCTTTAGTAGGAACAGGGCAAGGCCTTCTGAACTAGCAATTCTGCTGTCAGTCCCAGCCTGACCTGATAATATCACGTGCTCCAACTGAGTTCTCCTTATTTTATACCACCAAGGAACCTAAGAATACAGTCACTGAATAACTAAGTACATGAACGATATTTGTTACCGCAGTTACTGGATCTACGTTATCTTTAGGACAGGTCCTTACATTCCCCTGTGACAGCAGCATGCTGGCTGGGTGAAGGAACCTGCAGGATGCTCAGGCTTTCACTGGTGCCCATAACCAAATTACGAAGGGCAAAAATCAGCATAGTGTGACAGCTAGACAAAATGAATAATGCAATATCCAGACATCTCTAAAGCCATGTCTTTGCTCTGGGATGTGGATTTATCTTGGGAAAGGGTACAACTCCTGTCTTTCTTACTCATTGCACAAAATTCTGCCTAAAAGAAGGTGGTTCTGCAGTACAGTGTGACTGGTCCCACTTGTTACTAGTTCAGCACTTCAGGTTGTCTAAAAATAACCTTCTGTCACAGTAATTTAGTCATTAGTAATTCTATCTGCCTGCTGGGAAACATCCTTTTAACTCAATCTTAGCTTAATTGGGGATTTGCAAGGTAGATGATAACTTCAAATCATGTCAGTTACTCCAAAGCCAATTAATGTAGGGACATGATCACAGGAAACATGCAACATTCGTTTCCTCTCATTGAAAAACATTAGTCACAGCGTTGATTACTTTTCTCCTTCATCACTCCAAAAGAGGACAAATTTACTGCAGACCTGCATTAGTACAAGACCCCAGCTGCCAAAATAAAACCAAACAGATTCATCTTACTTCAAGCGTATTTAAGCCCCTTCTTTTTTCTCAATAAATCCTCTAGGGAAAAGAATGAGAACATGGAACAAAAATCTTTCATTTATCTAAAAACAGAAACTAAAAGGGAATTTGCCTTACTTGCTGAGAGGGGATCGGGAACAGGCCAAGCTGGGCTAAAGTAACTGGGATTGCTCTTCATGGAGCACTTTGCTGCATCAACAGCAGTGCCAAACCTGGCCTGTGTCTCCCGGGCCTGAGCCAGTGTCCAGGGCTTTCCAGAGGGGCTTTTGCTCACGGGCTGATCGCTGTAGAAGAGCCGCAGTACTCTGACTCTTCCTCAGGAACCAAATTTGACCAGAACACAATCTGCAGTCCTTCTAGCCTAGCCCCTTTACAACTTCTTTCCTGCAGTTTTTCTATTCACCAGGTTATTTCTCTGAGATCAATCATTACCATTGAGCTGCTAGAAGAAAGTGTTTTGCATAAGGGTGGTCTTCGGTGCCAATGTCCCTTTTTGGAGAAGGTCAGCACGCAGCCCCTCTCACTCGACGTGTTGGGGTGCAGGTTGTGAGAGCCCTCGAGTACAGCGCCTGCTCGGCTCAGTACAGGCGTGAACAGCAACGTGTGCTCACCAGCGTGCGTTACGTTAGCGCTGTGAAAAGCTGCTTCCCCAGCAGCTGCATGCAGCTTCAGCGTGTGTCCTGAGCTCTGAGTAGCAAAACTTTTTGTTTAGCTTCAGTGGGAGGTATATCTCTGCTTACAAGCCTGTCATATCCAACCCAGACTAATAAATATTACTGGTTTTCCCTCTTTCTTACACATAGCTGTCCCTGGACCTCTATCACACTGAGGATGACATCTACAAGCTCTCGCTGGTGCTGGAACCAAGGAACTCCAAATCCGTAGGTCTTCTTTTACTGCATTTTGACATATTGCTTGTTTTGTCTGCATGCAGTTGATTAAATTTTTAAATTACAGTTAATGTCATTTTCGTATTCACATAAAGCTTTTTAGTGTGTATGCTTGTATAGTAAACACAGTCACTCTTTATAGATTTCAGTGGATATTGGGAGAAGCAAATAGTGAAACATGCCAGACTTCATTACTAATTATTTTTCAACAAAATCTCTGCAAGTCATGGAAAACATAGTTCTGCTTTATGTGAAGATATCCTTTGTAAGGTTACATCAATAATGTATTGCGTGACCATTACTTCATTTTCTGGGTGCTGGTGCGGTTATATAAAACAACACTGAGTCCAAAGACTTGTTTTAGGTAAGGCACAGCATTAGCTGTAGTGTTTTAAAACTGTTTGCTTATGTAGAATTGGCTTTATCTTAGAATCACAGAATCATAGAATCATTCAGGTTGGAAAAGACCTTTAAGATCATCAAGTCCAACCGTTGGGCTCTCAAGCAAAGTTTAAACACCTCAGAATACATATTACTTTTTTTTACTATGCGCAATTAAAGATAATGCTGCATTGCTGCATTTTTCATTATGCTTTGCAAGTCTGAAGATACAGATAAATCTCCTAATTAACAGTTGAATTTCATTTAAAGTATTACTCTCTCTTCTGTTGCCAAAGTCTGGGGACTCCTCTTCCCTCTGAGCATTTCATCAGTGCATTAACATCCTTATTACCTATCATATCCAGCATGTGATGCTCTCAGGCTGAGCCCTCTCAAGTCTGACACCAGCAGAAACTACGGTTGGCTGGAAATGCTTAGCCAGGGTGTGAGAGCAGAGTCCAGGAATCTGAGGTGATTCATTGCAGTGCTTTTTATGCTTTTGAAGTATTCTTAAAAGCAAGCAAGGAAGCAGAATCCCTTGATTTCCAAGTATAGGGCTTCTCTGGGTTTTAAGATAGTTTAACACTCTTGGACACCAGTTTGAGGACTATGTGTGTGTGCTTTCAGTGGTGAATGATGAGCAATAGTAAGGAAGCTATTGAATATTTCCATAGTCAACACTAACTCAGTTTGAACACCTGGAATTTCATTACATTGTTTCGTTATCCTTGTTGGATATGATTTCACCACATTTATTCCCATTTGTCGCAGTCATTCTGGCTCTCTTGTGCTCCCATTACTGCCGGCAAAGCTGATTTGTTACAGCTCTATGCTGTGGAAGGACTAATGGGCCACTACTGTAAATGAAGAAAATTATCACGTTGCCGCTTTGATCTCCAGCCTGAGCTTTAAGAAGGACAAAAGCAATATAATCAGTGTTGTGAACTTTAACAGTACCCAGCAATTGTGGGAGACTTCTGCATAACAATCAATGAATAACCAGTGACATTGAGCTGTTGCAGCACCCTGATGGGTAAAAAGCTACAGCTGAATCGACAGAAGCAGGACTATTTGAAGCATACTTCTCTTTGATGGCGTGCCAAAGCACACAAGCTGTATTAGAGGGGAAAGAATCTGTAGAGCTTTTGTATGTGGAAAAATTTGTCAAAGACAATGTGACACCGTAGTAATACCATTCCAACTGCTCCTTGATTTATTGTTGTACAGGTACAACTCCCATGCAGGTGCACTGCAGAGGAAGTGCCTCATGCTGCTGCAGTCATTTTTGAGGCAAAAGTGGAGCTAATCTGTTAGCGTACGATCCTGCTGTCAACAGGGACTTGAGAAAGACTTTCATTCTGTTAAAACTGGGAGGAGACTCTTCAGTCATTGTAGCAGCCTAAAAAAATACTGAAGACTGACCGCCAGTTGTAGTATAGAGTCTCCCTGTCACACTGTCCTGCTTTTCCCTGCGCACTAGTTATTTTCCTGTTGGGAGTTTTTACTGGTACAGCTATTGGCTAGAAGACGACTCTGCCTGGTACAGTTACGCCACTGAAGACACACTTACATAGATTTTTTGCTTTTGAGTAGAATTTATTTCAATGCCAAAATACGCAGAACTTTGCATCCGTCTGAAAATGCTTTTTCAGTCTACGATACCATTATCCCTGTGCTGGTGAAACAGACAGGAGATATAGGCTGAATCACAAGCAGCATGACCAGATACAGTGTTTCTGAATGTTCAATAAATTCAGCTAGGTAGTCTCTGGACACTGGTTAGTACCTTTCCTCATAGCATGCATTTCAAATACATAAATAAAATTATGACTGTTCATACAAGTCTATGAGTGAAATAGGAGGAACTGACATCTCCCTTTGGCTAGTGGGCAGTAACATGAAGTTTTTGCTGCAGTTTGTCAAAAACCACAATAAAAATTGAATGAGGCTTCAAATGAAATAGCCCAGAATAAAGAGGAATGCTCCAGTGGATTCAGTCTCTTTCTGCCATTTTGCACTCAGACCAGCAGGAGTTAAAAGCTCTCTGTGAGGGCTTGGTAGTGTAGCACCACTCTGACACTTTGATACTGATGCTTTGAGGCCCTTTAGTCTAAGATTTTTTTAAGAGAAGGCACATTTCAAATTTATTCTCTGACCACAGCTGTAGGAATATCACAATACTGGCAGGTTATATGTTATCATGTAACATGTCATCTTTAAAAGATTGCTGCATTTCTGCATATTTTTAGAGCAAAAACACTTGCCAGCTTGTTGGTCCATCACTGTGTGGTGACATTAATTTTGGGATCAAAATATTCTGTGAGTGCTTTTGACATATAGAGCTGGATATCCAGGTTCACTCTATTTCCTGTTAGACTTTAATTCTGTGGATATAGAGATTTTCTTCTTCCTTAAACTTACCTGTGCAGATTTGTATGATGAGTCAAGAGCCATTCAGGAACGGATATAATCCAAACCATGCTGAAATTTTTCTGCTTGACACTGCTTCACCTGCTGGCTGTCCAGTGGCAGATGCAGAAGGCCAGTACGCCTTACAGCTTTTTTCATGCTGCCTGGTGGTTTTTGAAGCCTTATCTGAAACTGTGTTCAGGTTTGTCCTATATTTTCTACTTGAACAAGCCGAGCTGCATGCCAGAGCTTCTCCCAAAGCACCGTAGTGGCATGGAGGCTCTGTGTGCTCTGTGCATCAAGTGAGCTGTCAGCTACCATTTCATCAGGACCAAGCTGTTTTCAAAATAAAATAGCCTGGCTGGTGTTATCTGGAGAGCAAGTCAAAGGTTAGCCCCTTTCTGCTCAGGCTGCCTAGATGACTTAAGCTGTGTGTCCTGGCCTACTGTAAATTTCCTCCTGTCTCTGCCCAGAAAGATTTCGTTCTTGTTCCACTATGGCGTTGGCATTTCCCTGCCACGTTGTCATAGCACGTCTTGGCTGGAAACCAGTGGGATGGCTGAGCGTGATTCTGTCCCCACCTCTGCATCCTGCCCTCTTCTTGGTGCTGCACAGAGCAGGAGCATTAACTTATCCAGGCCACCGCAGTCCCTCGCGTGGCTTCTGGGTACGGTCCCTCCGGCAGTGTGGTGGGGCCAGGCAGCATCGTGATGGCAAGTTCCTCGGGGGCTGTACCAGGAAGGAGAAAAGCAGGTCTCTGGGCTTGCCTGTTCCTGATGCCCGCTGTGCCCAGAGACCCTCCTTCCTTCCCCCTTCCTCCAAGTCTCGTTGCTGTTGAACCCTCCGGAGACAGCAGTGAGGAAAGTCTGCCTGGTTTTGCTTCTGAGCTCGCTGGGCACTGCTGCTGCCGGCATAGCTGCGAGGTGCCACGGAGAGCCCAACTGAAGCTGTTAGCAGAGGCAAGCAACGCTTTAAAACCTTTCCTGATGTTTTGCTAAGCACATTTTTACAGCACAGGGACTCCGGTAGTTTGTGGTTGTAGCTCTGACATATAGAGCTGCTTTTAGTGGGAAATTCAACTTCATAATTCAGATTTTAAAATCTTTGTGTTCTGATCCATCTCTCAGCAGCCTACCTCCCCGACAACCCCTAACAAGCCAGTAGTGCCACTGGAGTGGGCATCTGGAGTGGTACCAAAACCCGACCCTACCGTCATTAACAAGCACATACGAAAGCTGGTGGATGTAAGTATTTGGAAGAATACACTGGTCAAAGAATACGATAGCTTTGATATTGTCATCATTATAATTAATTTCAAGCTTTTCAAGGGATTGTTATAGTTGGGATGAACTTCAGACATCCGATAACAAATTTGAGCCTTTACTGATACTTTCAGAAATATTTATTTTATTCCTGCAATCAGTGATGGGATTAGTAAGCAGGTTTCTCGATACAAAGGAGCAAACTTTCAGGATCATCCGAAGCCTGGCTTCTGTTCAATAGGGTTTGCTTAGCAAATATAAATTCAGAGGGCAAAGTTGAGTTTTCGCAGATCTAGTCACCTAGTTTATGTCTGGTACTAGACAGCTGGAAACAAAAATACTCAGAAACAAGGACTCACGCATTACTAAGCCCAGAGAAAGTTTCCAGAAACCCTATTTCTGGTTTTCAACTTGCTGTCATTTGACTGTCCAGAGCATACTACGTATGGTAAAGAAAGGACTGTCTTGGTATCACACTAAAAATTGGGCATGAGGTCATGAAGAATTATAGCTAGGATCTTCCAGCTTCAGTTTGGAAGGTGACGTGTTAGGTAATGCAAACAAAACCAAATAGTACCAGGTTCCTTTGGAGAGACTGAGCCCTGTTGTGTTGGTGTGTAAGGGACTTTCAGTGATGTGAGCAGCATGCAGAGGAACCAGGAATGTGTTGTAGATAATGAAGGAAGATCTCCTTCTGCTTTTTACAAATCAATAACTAAGTCTGGGAGGAACTATTAAATTCTGACCTCGTCTGTGTTACAGGTCATTAATTGGGGTTATATTGTTAAGATAACTTAAAACAGTCTTCAGTTGTCCCACTCAGACTTCAAATATATCTTGTGGTTTACTTTTTGTACCTGCTCTTTTTTTAAAAAAGTTTCGTTTTTCTCTTAATGTGGGATGCCAGAACTGCATATGCTGTTCCTCTATTGCTTTTGTCAGTGCCATATGTGTTGATAAAAATCACTCCACAGCCAAACCTCTCTTTGATAGCTTGTTTAAATAGGAAGTCTGTCACAACTCCTTAATCTTTCCAGAATTAGGTGGGTGGGAGTTGTTCTTGTTCCTGTGGGTGGGAGAAATGCAGTCCCCCATTCCACAATTTTGGCCTGGTTCGGGACATATGATCTTGAGTTTGACAGGATTAAAACATGTTTTGGGTCTGTCATGGATACAGCTTACCAAGAGGCCCACACCACTCTGTACAGCTGTCTTCGTTTTGCCAATCTTTGTCATTTACTTGCTGCTTTGAGTTGTGCTTTAAAGCATTGTTTTTATTACTGAAAGTGTTGAATACTACTTGGGTTTGTGTTTTGGTTCCTTCGTGTTGATGTATTTTTGAGGTCTGCCAGTCATCGGTTACAGATTATTTGATAGGTGCTTAGAAATTGGCTTCATCATGTTCTTGTTAAAATAAGGACAAAGCAAACACCTTTCAGAGGTGTCAGCATATTAAAATCTTGTCTTTGTCAACCAAATCGTAATCTAATGAGAGAGTTTGTGGTTCAATATGTGTCTTTCAGATAGTCATGTTGACTTTGACACTCCTGTTTTTCCCATCAGCATCACAGGTAGCTTTAACGCCCCTTGCACTTCTCTGCAATCAGTAAAACAGAATATAGTAATTCCTTAGCAGCTAAGGAGGGCTTCCATCACTGTATGCGACCTTTTAAATTTGATCCCATGTCTGTTTTCACTTAGTGGCGACCTGGTGTGGGTTGATGGGAGGGAAAGATTGCTAGGTACAAAGTGCTCGTGATCTGGATGTCAAAGTATTAGTAAACAAATCAGATTGAAACAGTACTGTGACAGAGCAGAGGTGACCAACTAAAAGAGAAGTGAAGCCAAAAACATCTGAAATACTCATGGGAAAGCTGCTGTTGGGTTGGTTTTGGTTTATTTCTTTTTTTGTGTTTAAAAAGCATACTTAATGAAGCAAAGGGAGTATGTCACGTGGGGCAGAATTTTAGTGACATTTCCAATAAAGAAGAAAAATAAAGCAAGAAAAATTATGTCTGAAAAGTTGTGGAGGACCATCACTAGATAAATACTGAGGTCAAGTTTTCTTTAAAAATTAGCCATTTTTTCCCCTACAGTCCAATAAATATGCATATTGAAGTACCAAGTAGGAAGAAAAGGAATAAAACAAGGCAGCAGAACATCTGATTAGTAATGTTGAACATTAAGTTAGATGTAATTATAAGGTTGAAGAGCTGGTATAGATTCAGGATAGGCTAGATATTAGGGCAATAATTTCTTTTTTTTTCCCAGTCTGTCTTTAGGAACTACGATCATGACCATGATGGCTATATTTCTCAGGAAGACTTTGAAAGTATAGCTGCCAACTTCCCCTTTTTGGACTCTTTCTGTGTGCTGGACAAAGACCAGTAAGTTTGGAGATTTCTTTGTGGTTTTTTTCTTTTCCTCAATTTAAAAACTCATGCAAACCAAATATTGAAGAAACAGTGTCTCCCAAGCTTCTTGTGTCTGACATCTCGCTTAAGGAACTGAAGATCACTGAAGGCTGAATTCTGTTCTCACTTAACTTCTTATGCTGTAGTCGGTTCTATAAGCCCACCTAGATTGGAGTCCTGCTTTACCTGGTACTTTAAAAATCATTTATGTAATAGCTTAATGGGGAATTCCTACTGGGACTGAATCAAAACCCCTGGAATACCATCAAATTACAGTGGAGACGCTGTATCCAGACCAGGCATCAGACTGATGAAACAAATAAGTTGTGTACGGGACAGGGGAAATGAGTGTATGTAGCAGAGAGAGGGAAACAAATATTCTAGGAGGTATATGTAATATATATTTCATAGCCAGTTGGGCTTGATAATTCTTGTTGTCCAGAATCACTTTGACTGTCGAGGCTGGTGGTCAGCCAGGGGCACAACCACTGGGTCTGTGTGAGGTCAAGATCCTTCACTTAATGGCCTGGCCTGTGCTCTGACACCATGAACAGGGGAGAAACCAAGGTCCAGGCTATAAGTTCAGTGTTTGCTGTTTAATGAAGGATAAGAACCACAAAGGCTCTAAGGGTTTTTTTCTGCCAGGGCTGTTGCAGCTCTTTCAATGAATGTACTTTGCGTGCTGTGTGCTTTTTGCAATAAGAAAATCCAGAATTGTTCAGTGCCGTGAGAGTGACAGATCTACTCTACTTTTTTTTCCCTAACAGAGATGGTCTTATAAGCAAAGAAGAAATGATGGCTTACTTTCTGAGAGCTAAATCACAGTTCCAGTGTAAAATGGGACCAGGGTTTATTCATAACTTTCAGGAGATGACCTATCTTAAACCAACTTTCTGTGAGCACTGTGCAGGATTTGTAAGTATGTTTTTAGTAATAGTGCATCTTAAACACAACTTTTGACCCTTTAACGTAGACAGGGTGAAACTGGCTCCCCGCATTGCTGAAGTCTCTTGGCCAGATATCTCATTGCATTCAGAAGCACAAAACACTTACTCATGTGGTAGCTGTACTATCCAGTTTTGTTTTAGTGGCTCCTGAATACTGGCATTTGTAAGAATTACTGTTGCAGGGGAACAAATAAAATTATGTTAGCTAAAGGATATTAGACACTATATGAATGGCCTTACTTGGTTTATCTTAAGTTCTTTAATTTGGCTTTATTTCCCATGTAAACAAGCTCAAGGGAAAATGGTTGTCTGGAACAGAGGATGTAGATGAAGCAAAAGCCGTTCTTTCTCAGGAAATTGCACATGGCAACATAGCTATGTTCATAATTCTCTGAATGACCATAACAGCCTTAATCCTTTCTCTATTGAATTAACAGACCTTCTAATTTGGTCGAGAAATCAAAAGTGCTTCCAGCAGTTCTGTACAATAAGATTTTTTTAAATTTATTTGATATTTTTCTAAAATTTGCTTTTTCTCTCAGCCATAATTTACTAGATGCCACTTATTAGAGTGCTTTATACATAGCTGGGAAATGATCGTTTATGTGAATATTTGTGTTGCTTGTACCTCCTCCAACTTTTTCACTGCAAAACAAGTATAGTAAAGAAAAAGGAATTCCTATGATTTAAAAGTTACATTAATGTACACACCCCACTGAAATCAAATGTCCACATTTACACAGCTTAAGCAATAAGGGCAGAGGCCCATGTTCTCTGCTTACGTGTGGCCCTTGTACAGGGTGTAAACTCAGAACATGGTCCCTGCTCTCCAGCACAGATCTGCCTCTGCTATCGGCAGCAAAATCTCCATCTTGTACTATGTGAACTTTTCCACTAAGTGATATCTTTTCGTGGCTGAAAGTAACAATAACAGCACTGCTAAGTGCAAAAACATGCCTCCTCTCAGACCAGCTCTGGTGTTTCTGCTCTTGTCCGTGCTCCCGTCTTCCGCTCGCTTCTTTTGTGATGAGTCTGTCTTGTTCAGATGCTCGTGGTCCCTATCGCAACGGCTGATCAAGGCCACGGGGAAGAAGGAATTCCACCTATTTCCACTAGAACCTTGCAGGTGACATGGTCAGTGCTGATTCAGGAACGTGCTGGTGGGCTCTTGCGCTGGCAGCTCCAGCAGACCGATGGGGCAGAGGCGTTCACTGGCCTGAGCCTATTGTTTGAGGCCGCCTGCAGCCTTGGGAAGACGCCTTTGCGTTTGTGACACTCACTTCATGTTTGGAAGGCTTCCATAGCAAAGCAAGGCCCAAGGACTGCCCTGCAATGTCCTCTCTACCAGATATTTTTCTCCTGCATCAACTTGCTAATTGGCCATTGTTAGAATTTTCACGTCTCCCTGATTACATCCAGTGCAGGAATACAAATGAGTAAGGGGTTGTACAGGAAATGGAAATAAGGTCATTTTTCCTGTCAACTCACTGAAGTCATTGGCATTGTCCTGTGGATGAGTTGGGCTGATAGGACAGGAACCAACTACAAAATCTGCTGTGTGTTTGTTCTGCATTTCAGTGCTGCTCATCCTCATCCCTGGGTGGAAACTTAATTTCCAACTGATGCACTGATTCACAGTCAAAATAATGTGCACTGGCAGTGCAGCAGGATGAATTGACGTGACAGTTCAATGCGTGCAGTATCCAATAAAATATCTGTTATTAAAATGATACAAACTTTAAAGATCAAGCTAAAACCTAATGCCATTAAGCAGTGTGAAATTGATATGCCCATGGTGGGCCACAGTTCTGTCCCACAGCTTGAGTTGCACCGCATGGCAGGGTAGGTGACCAGCCATCCCACCGAGCTTTATAATACCAATGTGCACAGATCCTCTTACCTTGGAGCTGGCTCAAGCCAGCTTTGCAGCAAAGCTGTGTCAGACGGATTCAAAGCTTTAGGTCAGAATTCATGACACGGCATTTCAGCTAAGCTTCGCTGCTGTGTGTAATCATGACTGTGGCACCAAATTTGAGTGGGAGGAAGGTACAGAGCTAAGAAGGTGAGAAGAAAGCTCTTCTGTGGGAACAGGTTAGATCTTAAATGAAAGAAACTATAATCCATGCCTCTTATGGTGATCCTGGCAAAGAGACCTGGGGAAGAAAAGTCATGTAAAGCTGAGCAGCGACAGCCCTGCTGCTGCTCTTCCAAGAGGGGGCTGGGGGGCTCCACTGTCGCTGCCTGACCACAGGCATTAGCAGGAAAAAAGCAAGCAGCAAGCTTTCTCTGGCCCCTTCTTCCACCATTGTCCCTTCTGTTCTTTTATTCACCTTTCTTCCACCCTGTCTAATCTATTTTGCTTTTCCAAGCCCCCATTTTTCCTTGCAAATTCCTTTTTGCAGTGTATGGGGGTTTTTTTCACAGAATCTTCCTATTCTGTTTATTTTACTCTTTCCTTTGTATTCTGAATGTTCTCCAGCTCTTCCTTTTGAACACTGCTTTAATGACCATATTCATATTGCGTACTGTGCATGGGTTCTTATAAATATGGTGAGAAGCCACGTGCAGTTTCGACTGCCTGGATGTCCTCACCCTCCCAGGTGATGTTTTGAATGAGGTCAGGATAAATAAACACAGCAGTCCCCGATCTTTTTCCTTTAATGCTAGGGCTAGAAAAACTGCCCCTTCCTCTATCTGCCTCTCAGGGTGAAAATGCTTGTTTTTATAATGCAATGGTTGTAGATACAGCACTTCTGAGGGTATAGATAATGATTTGCTGGGGAATTTTCCTACTTCCAAGCAATCCTGCTCATGTTGCAGTGAAAGCTTCCCAAAAGTGGGACTGCGCACACTGCCTCCTAGAAGTTTTGCATTTGGTTGTTATGTACATCAACAAGGGCAGCTTCTGGGAGGAGGCAAAGATGGAATTTAGTGTCTTTTCTGCCTGTTTCAATCTTCAACATTTTTTTTAATGGAAAAGGTCGGGCGGAAAAATCCAATTGCTATGGCTGGGTGTGCTGGGGACCAGTATGGCAACAAAGAACCTAATTTTTATCCCCAGTGGTGTTTTCTTCTCCTGTGTTTGAATGGCATGGGTCATTCATGTATCTGGAGAATGGATGTGCACTGGAAATTCCCTCACAGATAACATTAAGTGAGCCTAAAAGCAGAACGTGCTCTGCTGGTTTCAGTAAGCTTGATATAATGGCAATTTTTCACCCATTCCTGGAAGCAAATGTCATCTGTGTCTCTCCTTCTCTGGTAGTCCCGCTGTAAGTAGTAGAAATAACGGGGAAGCCACACAAGTCTTATCACAATTAGAGGGGGAGGTCTGCCTAACAGGAAGGGTGTTAAGAGCAGTAGTATCCTGTTTGTGCTTTTGTAGCCATTGGTACTTCCTCATTGTGACCTTGTTTTCCTTCCGGCTTTCTTTTCTGATTCCTTGACGTTCTTTTGTCTTTCTTTGCAGCTCTGGGGTATAATCAAACAAGGCTACAAATGCAAAGGTAAATAAATATTGCATGGATTTTTCAAATTATAGGTGGTGGGTTTTAGCACAAGTAGGTCAACTGTATTTTTTACTAGAATGACATCTGTTCATCCAAATTTTGCTTATACACTTGGTACTGCCCGTGAACAGTGACTCCTGGTACGCTGCGAAGTCTCATTGCGTTAGGGGACATAGCACTCAGTAGGAACACACAGGTTCTGTGAGCTAAAGGTCCAAAGCAGCCACTGACTCCATGAGGTGTCACTTTCTACCAGCAAAGACCTTGCATCTTGGAAAACCAAGTGTCCTCATCCTAACACCAAGACATCCTGAAATATATCTGCTGAGACTTGGGGTCAGGAAAAGGTCTGCTGGCAATGCTGTCGTGTACATCCGCATGCCTGTAGTGAAGCTTTACTGGTCTTGCAATGCAATAGCAGCTGAGCTAGAAATAGAGAAATATTTAATTCCTAGACTGCCCAGCAGATCTCATTGCAAGATCTTCTGCAGACATTCAACTTTAAAAAAATCCTAGAGCTCTGACAGCCCTCGCTGTTGCTTTCATAAAATGTTTAATTTCTTAGGCAGTACTTGCACTATATTGAGCAGGTCAGACCAAGAATGGCATTGTGGTGGTCCTCATTGGCTTTAAAGTCCTGGACCTATTTATTTCTCAAGCAGCCCAGCTCTGGCTGAAGGGCAGTGTTGATTTACACAGTTGTAGTTGCACCTCGGTTATTCACAGGGGAACGTTCACGCTGGGGCTTCATAGTTGTATTTACATGCACTCTTTTCCCTTAGTCTTACACTGGCTCCCAGTGTAAGAATTGGCAGGATTGTTTTTTAGGATACACCGTACTCCTGTCTCCCTCTCCACCCATGAATATCTCTTCCTCAGAGAGGGGTGGGGAAAATGGCTAAACCAACGTATGTAATTCAGCTATTCCTGACCACTGTCATCTGAGCAGCTACGAAATGGCTAGTTGCGGTCTATACTTTTACTGGTAGGATGAGGGAAGGAAGATAAGGTTTTGAGATCTGAAAGCTGAGCTCTGTCCTGCATCATTGCTTGTAACAGTGGCTCAGTGGAGAGAGAGCAAAAGTGATTCTGTAGAGTCAAAATTATAGGCAATGGAGCATGAGAGTAAGAGAGCAGAGCTGCTCGCTCAGATCTTAAAGTGGTCAACAAGCGTAATTAGTGCCTGCCCTTTGTTGCAGCAGTTACCAGCTGCTCTGTATGCCAGCATCACTAGAGTGCTGCACCCATTATGGATGATTTCTGCCTTTGAGCACAGAGCTGTCACCTTCTGTTTTGAACCTCTGACACTGTGCTAGCCGGGGGAGGGAAGGGGTTCATCTGTTCAGGTCTGCTGCTTACCCCAGCACTGTGGACAATGAGATAAAGCTAGACTGTGTGGTCTACAAGTGATGAAAGAGGTTCTCCATTGCCAAGAGAGGTCTTTATTGTATCAGGGGGTGGGAGAGGTACCTTTAGGGCAGACAAAACCACAGCTGGGCAGGTACTTCTGTATTAATCATATGAACAAGGTGATGGGAGAAACCAGAACTCTCACCCATCATGCTAGAGCTGCTGCCCTGAGCAGAATGGTCCTTTTAGCAGAGAGTTATAAACACAACGCTTTGGCAATGGCTCACCTAGAACAAAATGTTAGGTCATGGAGCAGCAACAGAGAAACAAGGGAAACGGAAATTTTCAAATAAGGGCAAGTGACACAGAGGAGAGAGACCCTATGTTTGGGGCATCTTCCACCCTTTGGCCCTTGTAGATAAGATCCGTACTGCGGTCACACTTCAGATAAATGTACCTAGTGATGAGTGTATCTGCAGTGAGGTTAGGTGTGCAGGCACTCAGCCAGTTTCATCCAGGTGGATGATAAAAGTCCACAGAGCTTACTCTGTGCTGATGTTGCTTGCTGAGCTACTTGGATGAGTTTTAACCTACAATGGTGTCCTGGTTTCGGCTGGGATAGAGTTAAATTTCATCCTAGTGCTGTGTTTTGGATTTAGTATAAGAAGAATGTTGATAACACACTGATGTTTTTAGTTGTTGCTAAGTACCCTGCTAGTCAAGGACTCTTCAGAGGCTGGGAGAGAGCATAGCCAGGACAGCTGGCCCAGCTGGCCAACGGGGTATTCCATACCATGTGACGACATGCTCAGTATATGAATGGTAGGCATGGTCCAGGAAGTAGCGATCGCTACTTGGTTATCGGTCAGCGCAGGTGGTGAGCAATTGCATTGTGCATCACTCATTTTGTATATTCTATCATTATCATCATTATTATTATTATTTTCCCTTCCTTTTCTGTTCTATTAAACTGTCTTTATCTCAACCCACGAGTTTTTCTCACTCTTACCCTTCCGATTCTTTCCCCATCCCACTGGGCGGGGGGAGAGGGGGGGACGGCGGGGAGTGAGCGAGCAGCTGCGTGGTGTTTGGCTGCCTGCCGGGTTAAACCACGACAAATGGTCTACATTGACCTCCAGCTGTCCTTCCAGAGGCTCACAGTATGGATGCTGCAGTGTCTTCTGACCAAGTGCGTTTACTATAATGGGTCCTGCTGGGTCAAATGAAAAAAAAAAACCCAAACTTTTTTTGGAGACTCATGCAGTGGAGCAGAGGCTTTATGCATTGCATACACAGGATCATACCAGTAATTCCAGGTCTCTTCCTTGAAACTAATTGCTGACTAAAATATCATCCCCCTCTTCCCTTCTGCTGCCAGATTTCTACTAATGGCTGCCATGGAAATGATCCATTTTTTGTAACACGCTTCACACCAAATGATCCATTTCTCTAACTCCCTTTGCACCTTCTGTCAAAGCATTTGTTCCTTCAAAGTCCCTCCTGGTATCTGTCTGCTAATAGCCCTGAGGGATTACCAGAGAGTTGTGGCTTTCCATTTGATGACTTGATAATTCCTTTCTTTACAGATTGTGGTGCCAACTGTCATAAGCAATGCAGAGACCTGCTTGTGCTGGCATGCAGGAAATTTTCCAGAGGAACCTCAGTAGGCAGCAACCATGGCTCTCTGCCTAGCAGCCCGTCTCTGCCTCCAGGTGAGAGCACTTTTGCTCCTATTTTAAACCATTTCTGGAATCCTCTCTAACAGCCAGTGTCCTTGCTGCCATTTTTAATTTTTCCTTTGTAGCAATGCACAGATCAGCACATGTGCTTTCCACTGCACTGTGGCTTGTGTTCAGTGCTCGGATTACAACATCCGTTTCTGCAGTGGTGGCCTTAGTCTCCTGCCTGAGGCTCCCTATCCCAGCTGAAAAGAAATAAAATTATAATTAGGGAAATTGTAATTCTCCTTACAAGCCACTTAGGGGCAGGGGCTGGGAGACATAGGGCACAATTCTAGCTCTGCCTTATCCCCTGGGCTTGCAGATGAAGGGAGAAGGAAATGTGCACACATAAGGCCAAAATCAGTTTCCAAGCAGCATATGGATATTGCTAATTATACCACTGTTTCATATAGGAGGTTACCTCCCCCCACCCCAGGCTTAAGTTATCTTTTTGTAAAGATCTTGAAGTAGAATATTTAAAATAAACAATTCCATCCTCTCTTTCAGTCCAAGATGAAGTATTTGAATTTCCCCGTGTTGCTGCAGAACACCAGGACCTCGATGGCAGAGCTATCACCCTTGTCACTGGCTCTTCGCGGAAAATTTCGGTGCGGCTGCAGAGGGCGACCACCAGCCAAGCAACACAGACAGAACCACTGTGGCATGAGCCAGGCTGGAATGATTCAGGTTCCCATACTTTCCCCAAAATGAAGTCCAAGTTCCATGGCAAAGCTGGGAAGAACAAAGGCTTTGCAAAATGGGAGAACGAAAAGCCAAACGTGCAGGCTGATACAGAGCTAGATGCCAAGGCCCCACAACACATACAGGATCACAATGGAATAGAAACCCTCCCAGAAAGACAAGAATCTGAGGTGAGTTGCGGAAGAAGCCAAGACAGTTTAAAATCTACTAGAGTCTGAGGTCTCATAAGGTTATTTTATGAATTCCAGGACACTTTCATTCAAATTTTCCATTGCTTCTTGCACAAGAGTTACTTTCAGAAGAATGCCAAATCATCCATAGATACCTATTTTCTACACTGCAGTGTGCATTTACTGCAACACTGTAACTGGGGCTTTGGCTCTTGGTGTCAGTATGTGCTTTTAGGAGTTAGGCACTTTTCTTTTTGAAAATCATTAAAATAGCCTGGTGGATATCTGACCAAACTCTGTGTTGTCGTACCCTTGCGATGCACCGTTCAGGGCTCCATGTTAAGTTCACCAGAACTAGCATTCTGATAAGTATATGAGTCCAGGCTGGGGCAGGATATTGGTCCGATTTCTGGTGCTGTCACCCATAAAGTTCATACTTCCAAAGCCTAATGCTTTTATTGACCATCTTTGCTAGCATGTAAGTGCCTCTTCTCTTTTGGTTACAGGATAGCTGATTGCTCACCCTAAAGCACAGAAAAATGAAGATGACCACTGTAATACAGCAAGCGTTGGTGGACTGTCACAGACCACACTTGGCCATGAGAAGTTTTCCTGTACCTCGTACTTTTAAATTCAACCATTGCCCTGGTTTTTTAGCTGAAAGGTGTTATAAAGCACTATTTATTTTCTCACGAGTAAGCCATTTGGATGAACATTGCACGGACACAGCAGAATGGATCTCTGCGGTCACTGTTTTCTCTTGTATGACTTTTGTGGAAACTTCCTCTACATGCCAGTGAGGATATATTTGGCCTCCTTTAAATATACTGCATCATTTCAGTATGTCTGCCAGCAACAACAATGGTGAGGACAGAAGCCAAGCATCTAAGTTTGTTCGATAACACTCCTTTTCCAGACGCTTATAATGATCTTTTAAGGAAAGAAGTAGGTGTGTATGTTGATTAAATCTCAAACAAAAACCTTTCACAAGTCCTCTATGCTGAAATTCTTTGCACACCTGGGGTTTTGAATTTTGGCCGTGTTTACATTGCTACAGTGAGCATATTGGTGTTCAGCACAGTGATACCAGTTCCCAGACTAGGGATCCTTCAAATAGGCAGCCGAATTCCAAGACACTATGCATATGTCTGGTTACACTGCAGGGGAGAGGGGTCCTCTCTGCCAGCGCTGATTATGGTAAAATTAGCATGTAATAAACACTTCAGTTTTAAGTGTGTGTGTATGTATGTGTATGTGATACGGTTTTCTCTGGTTCGCAGCCTGCACATGTTAAGACTAAAGGTACTGAAAAGCGACCTCCAAATTAGCAGTTTGCTAATGTAGGATATAGCACCTGAATCTGTAATGGCCTGAGAAGCAGGTTTGAAGTGGCATTTCTCAGAAGTCTTAAGTTACTTAAGGAGCATAGCCCTCATCTGGAAAAAGAGAGAAAAACAAAACACTGCAAAGTTCAAACATGAAAGGTGCGTTCCAAATTGGCATACATGTATTATTCTTTTTACCCCATCTCCCCACAAAAATAGGTGTGTATGGGGAGCACACTCTGAATTAATGCAAGCCAATTATAAGATTTCCTACAAAATTCAAGTTATTGCACACTTCACCAAGTTATAAGCCCTCAAGAGAGTACTTTCATAGACTTCCCTAACCAAAACTGACAGCTGCACCCTCTGTGGTAATTTGACTGTAATCTGCACTGCAACTACATGATGTTTGCTCAGGTTTGCATCTTGAATCCTGCAGGTTTCCTTTGTTTTCCAACACAACTAGTAATGATTGTAAATCTGGGGAGAGAAAAAAAAGAGAACACGCTCTTACTCTTTTAATCTCAGAGAAATATGCACTGCAGGGAGCACTGATTTCCAAGCTAGGATGAGGGCCAGAAGCATCCTTCACTCTTACTGCTGTGGGCAAAGAACAGGCATTAACAAAAATATGGTCTGTATTTCCTGTGGTGGATCAGGTGACAGGTCACAACAGGCTGACCGCACAGCTACCGTTACAGTGTACAGCTTCCACACAATGAAAATGATGTGGTAGAGAATTTGAATAGAGAAATTTGGTTAAGATCCAGGCTGTTGATAGATCTGTTGAGATAAGCCTTTTAATGCTTTATAAATGAAATGTTCATGTGCAACTTCATTCTTAACATCACTTAAGAGTTTTAAACAGCGTTTAATCTGTAGACGTCAGCCTATTTCTTGCAGGCTTTTAAAAGTTAGTTGTAACTCTTGCTCTGAAAGGTACCTGCTTTCCTATTTCTATCAGGCCCACAAACCATGTCCGTCTTCATTTCGTTGTTGGATAACAATGTTTCTCATACATAATCTTACCTTCTCACTTACCTATTCCCCAAGATACTTACAAGCTTCTTGCGGGGTAGGTGCTCTATGTTCTTCAGAGGAAGGCCTTTTCAACAACATGTTTTTTTCCATGTATGCTGTTGTCAAGGCATAGACTCACATTTAAGCAAGAAAACTGACATTTCTACAGAAGCAGCTCCCACTTTCTGGGGGACCATTCTACTAGCAAATAGACTGCTTAAGTTTCAACCCGCTGTAGAGATTTCATCAACACATCTCTAGCAAGCCTGGTAGCTTTGGTCAGTTACGTGCTTACCTCAGCAGCAGTTGCAGATCAAGCATAGACTGCAGGCTCACAGAGCTGATCCTTCTAAGCAAAACATTGCAGCATCCAAGGAGGACTCATGCTGGGTGAAAATTTCAAGCACCCGCTCCTGCTGGAAACCCTTTGCTTTAGGCATTTCAGGGGAAGGGGAAGAAGAAGGGGAACATTGAGAGTGTGTTGCCGGCAGTAAGTGTTCACAGCCGTTGGAAAACTTGAGAAAAAGGCACTGGGTAGAAGTACAGCCTTTTTTCACCCCCCTGCTCCCCAAAAAGGAATAGACTTATCATAGACAATATAATAATTAAAAAAAAAAAAAAAAGCAGCAGAACTGTGATCATCTAGTTCCACAGCAAGCACCTGAGTGGGGAGAGCTGACAGGGCATGAGCAACCTTTTTAAGACGTTGGTATAAGATGAGCTCTTTACCCTGGAGGAGGCCTGAATACATAAAAAAAAAAAATCTTTTTCTCTCCTTACTTCAAGTTGACATCTTTTTCTGAACAGGGGCAAGACAATTGTAGTTCCCCAATCTGGGCAAAGCAACAAAGAATTTCTTGTTCACCTCCCCTGACTTAACAAAAGGCAAAACATACCAGCCATTACAGTTCCCAACTGAGCTATGTGCCTCTGCTGGTCTTGGTGAAATCCTGCCTGCTAGAAGTAGATTAATTCCAGGAGAGTGTCCAGGAGAAAGCATCATAATGACAAGAGGACTGGATGAATTAAGTAGCTAAAGTGAGATACAATCCCAGATGATGCTGGATACTTCTACCACATCCATTCGTCCCTGTCTCAGTCCTCAGGATCTTTTAAGAAACTGGGGGGAGAAGGGAGGTGTTTTTAAAACAAACAAACAAAATACCAATCCCACACCACCCTCCCAAAAAACAATCACTACCACCACACAGTGGAAAGAAGGAAGATTATGCCAAACCTTATTTACAGCCTGATTTGCAAATGCCAAAGAATACAAGCAATGAGAACAGGTGAAAAATGCAAGTCATACACAGACCCTGTAAGAGATGATTTGGCTGTTCGAGCCAAACCCGCTAAGACTTTCTGTGCTTGTGCAAAACCTGCACAAAGCCTTGTGCTACAGATAAGGGAGCTTCAGCCTTGCTGTCAACTTTACGTAGCAGCCTTGAGTGCTATGCAAGGAGTCAAGGGGACATTTGGCTCCTTCAGAGTGAAATTCAAAACCAGGTTTGTACTGCAGGTCTATCCTCTGCTCTAGATCTCCTCAGTCTTGCCCTCCTCTGCCCCGTCAGTCTTACCCAGCTTTTGGGCTTTAAAAGAATAATCCCAGCTCTACAAAGAAACATTTTCCTAGACACAAGCTATCTTCTCAAAGGAGTCTTCATCAGGCAGGTGAAGTCTGAGGGAGGGGAGATGGGGGGGACAGCGGACAGTAACACGCTTGCTGACCAGAGCTAGTCTGAAGCATAGATTTCCCCCAGCTGGGAAAGGTGAGCCTTTTTCCTTTCAATACAGAAGAAGCTGAGCTGCTGCCTAAAACTTGAGGCTGCTGTCACCTCTGCGGACTGTTGCTCAAGGACTCCTCTGTGGAAGCATACCCTAACACAGCCCCCAAGGTCTTCCTAATGGACAGCCTGGAAGCCTTTGGCTGAGACAGCCTAAGTAGTCACAGGAGGGTCCTCGCAACCTGCGACACTAGTTCCAAAAGCTTTAGGCATCTGTATGGAAAATAGCTGCATGTGAAAGATCCTGGACACGGGGGTGGGGGGAAAGGAGAACAAATAACAGACAGATGGGGAGCAAGCGTGGGAAGAAGCATGCTAAGAGACCTCTCCCTCTCTACGTGACACCAAGAATGGAAGGCGATCCCAATGGAGACCGAGCAGAGGAGGAAGGAAGGAAGGAAGGAAGGAGGGAAGGAAGAAAGGAGATCTGAATGCAGATTTCGTGGAGACACAAGAGACAGGAGAAACAAGGGCTTGATGTTTCATGATCATCATAGCCAAAAAAAATCTAACCAAGGTTTGCTTCATTCAGCATCAGCCTGCTAACTGATGGGCCTCTGTACAGCACAAAAAATAGCTCCAAGTACTTCTCAAGAGAGTCTTGACAACAGAGTTGGCCCACCCGGGGACACTGGAGAAATAGATGTAACTTTGGAACAAGTTTTTTAGTTATCAGCGCTGATCTGAACTGGATTTTCAAAATAAGCACTGCAGCCAACAGGCTAAACTCACTGGAAAATCTGTGTGCTGTTTACAGCTGCTGACAATCTGGTCCTAGGAGACAGAAAAGCCATCAGCAAAAGGCTACTGCTGGGGCAGTATGAAATTTAGCCAAAAAGTCTGCTTTTTCCATGAGTTAGGCCAATGCCGGAAAGTTTAAAGAGTCCTTATCACCTTCATCTCTGCTTCATGTGTGAAAACGAGTTATGACCTTCCACCTGCCCACAGCACAGGCAGACTCCCTCTTTCTTTGGTTTTACAATAGTGTTTTCCTACTTTTTGTACTTGTTTTTCTCCCCTCTGTTGTGGGAAAGACCCACGTGGACAAGAGGGGAAATTACTGGACAATAAAGGGGAAACAATGACACTGACAGCACTCAGAGCTGTAAAAAGCACAAAGTAAACACAAGAGAAAAATATTTTTTCCCTTCTACCCTTGTTTGTCAAGCCATTAGAGGTGCGACTTATTTTCGGCCAAAGAGGGGAGAAGGCAATGTTTACAGCTGGTAATAGCACTTGCTTTTGCAGTTTGTGTCCCTTTGAAAAGGCATAACCTGAAACAAACAAGCATACGAGTATTTTGAGAGCCTACACAGGGGAAACAGAAGTTCACATCCACCTCGGTGTACTGCTCTCCAATCACAACACTGGTGCGATTCTAACCTAAGGGTATGCTAGGAGGCTGATAAAGCAAGCTTG